ACAAAATTTCCTGATTAACGTTGTCGTATGCCCCAGTGATGTCTAGAAAAGCCACGTACAAGGGCCTATTCTCTATTTTAGATATTTCTATACACTGAGTGAGAACAAACAGGTTATCGTCTAACCGCCTGTCGACTCGAAATCCGTTCTGAAGTTCTCCCAAAATATCGTTATGTTCGGCCCATGTTTCTATTTTCATTTTTACTGCTTGCATCGCCAATCTGTATAGTACCGATGTAATGGTTAGTGGTCTATACGAGCGAATCTTGTCCTTTTCTCCCTTGCCTTTATAGATTAAGTTCATTCTACTTTGTCGCCAACTGTCCGGTATTTGTCCGTCCTTTAAGCTTTTTTCTACTGCTTTTAACAATGCTTCTTTAGTGTTATGTCCTAGTTCGTTAATGAGGCTAACGGGAATCCCATCTAAATCCGCGGCAGTGCGCTTTGGAATTTTTCCTTCGGCCTTTTTCCAGTTGAAATTATCAAGTACTAGCTCTTCCTCTGTTGCTTTCTCCGCCACACTTTTACTCACCGGGGAGATCCCCTGGACGCTCTTTTGAAACGAATCGGCTGTTACCTTTTGGATGTAACCTAGCGCTTCGTACCCTTCCAATTGATTTCCTCCTTCATCTAGAATATGTTGTTGCGTTGTGACAGACTTCCTACCTAGCGCCTTTATGTGGCTCCAAAAAATCCTAGGCGCGGCCTCCTTTTTTTCGTGTATCTCTGTCATCCAGCGTTCACTTTCACCTTTAATTTTTGCCTCTACCAATTTCTGTACAAGGGATTTTTTCTCTAAATATATTTCCCATATTTTTTTGACTTCGTCCTGCGGCCGCTTCTCCTTTTTTGCCTTTCTATGCTCCCGTGATGCTTCGCGTCGCTTCTCGATCGCCTCCCGGATTTCCTTGTTCCACCAACTTTTTGGCTTCCTTTTTCCTTTCCAGCAAACAGTTTTCTTCTCTTTCCCTATCTCCTTCGTCATTAGATGTAACAGCTCACTATACTCCCAGTCCTTGCCTGGTATTTCGCCTACTTCTTCCTCGACTCTTGCGGCTATATTTATTATTTGTTTGTCATTTAAATACGAGCTGCCAGACTTTGATTCCATGCTCATATTTTCAGTTTCGTATCCCATTTGTAATGTTATTCGTTTATGATCACTACCCAAGCTGTTAATGCCTTCCTCGTCTATCCTCATTTCTGTCAGTTTGTGGTAAATTCCTTCAGTCATGAGACAATAATCAATACTTGATTGCTTGTTTCCGACTTCCCATGTGATCTGGCCGTCACATTTAGGCCCCGTGTTAACTCTCTCCAGACTATGTTGTTCGCAAAGATCTAGTAATAACTTCCCATTGGTGTCTGAATATCCGTCAAGGTCATGTATGTGGGCATTCATGTCCCCTAGAAGGATGATTTCGGCCCCATTACCAAATTCCTTAATATCCGCACTCATGCAATCCACTATCTCCTGATTCTTTTCTCTGCAGTTATTCCCCGTCCACAAGTAGGCTACCCCTAGCCACGTTTCCTTTCCACCTACTGTGCCCAGAACCCAGAGGTGCTCTGAACACGTCTGTTTCACTCTAACCCATTTGGCTCCGCGGTGAATTAGCATTCCTACACCCCCACCTTTCCTTTCCGATATGGTCCTGTTACACCCTTCCCAAACATAATTTTTAATATGTGGTGGCTCTTCCAAGTCTCTAAGGTGTGTTTCTGTAACCGCATACACGCCTATCTGTTCTTTGTTTAACTGCTCCTCAATCTCTAACCATTTTGCCTTCTTTCTGCCACCCTGCATGTTTATGTAACTAATTGTAACACGCGCCTTTTTCCTTTTTCTTTTACCTTTTTTTTTTTGGTTTTTCGCAATTCTACCTGTCAAAGCGTCCTCCTGGTTGTTTTCCCTGTTACGAGCTACCCCGGACTCCGAAGGGCCCGTGAGCCCCCCAAAAAAGCTACTGCGCGTCCTGCCAGTCGCCAGCCCACCTCGTGTCCAAGCCTCTTATCGAAATGAATCTTGTCTCTTTGGAATCCACCCCACCTGTGCACTTCCCTGTTTAAATCCACTACCTCGAAACCCTTCTCTCGACTAATTCGCCATATCTCTTTGTTTGCGTCGACAACCGCTCTTTGCAGGTTGACGTTGCGTACTGGTACTTCCGGTACTGTGCATACTACAATTTGCACCTGGGGGGACACGGTGCGCATGTCATCCACCCCCTTCGCCAAGGTCGTCGCTAGTCCTGACGATTCTTTTTTCAGGACGTCATTTAACCCTCCCGCAATTACAACGAGGTTACGATTGTTAGCTTTAGCTGCGAGTTGTTCACCCGCTTGACTCATTACTGTCCCCAGCGTTTGTCCTGGGAACGTCCCTATCGCAACTCTCTTGTCGCCTTTCACCCTTTCTTTGATTGCCGCTGCGCATCGGACTAAATTTGAGTCACCGGCGATGATGACCTGTTCAGACATTCCTTCTGAAACCTGCACCTGGCTGCTGACTAGGTGACTAGCGTGAGTCACGGCTGCTGGTTTGCTCCCTCCCTCCCTGAAAACTACTTCCCGGTAGCTGGGCCCTGTGGCCAATGTATCTGCCTTTGTCATGCCTGTTTCCTTCATCTCTCCCGCACGGGGGGTCGTCGCCATAATGCTTCCGCCGTCACCTGCGTCTTCGTTCCCTTTCACGACCTTCGATAGGCCCTTCTCGGCTGCCCGGAGCCTTTCTTCCATGGCTGACGTTTTCTCTCGCTCCTTCGCCAATGCATTCTCCAGCTCTGCGATTTTCTCCATGAGCCCACTCTGGACCGCCATCATATTTTTCATTTTCTCCTCGAACTCGCACTGTCTACACTTGGCGTCATCTTCTGCTTTCTCCTCCGCACTAATTTCCACCTTCCACCCTACCCCGCACTCTGAACACTTTACGGTCTTTTTGACCATGGCTAGCTCAGTTTACCGATGCCCACGTGTTAGAAAACTGTACTAAAATACGCTGGTCTAAGCCAAAAAGAACCACAATAATAAATAAATACGCTACACTTCACAGCATCTGCGCATGCACGTGGTCGGTCTACGCGCAGGCCTCAGCCACGTGGTGGCTGGAGAAAAAAAGACACAGTACAAAATACTAAAAAAAAGAAAAAAAAACGTACACCGTACTAGACCTAATCAAGCTTTACGCTAGCGCCTTACGTTCTCATAACGCTACATACAGAGGCAAGCTGGAAACATGCAAAAACACTTATCTGTATCTGTCATTCCGGAGCTCTCCAAAAACACGTCCGACCTCTACCACCACTCCATGCTACACCACTCCGTGCGCAGTGCAGCGCGCGCCATCTGCCGGCGCGCCTGCGTTTACCGCATGCGCCGCGCAGCGGGAGCGCACTTGTTCTTTAGCCCGGCGCGTTTGCGCGCCGCAAGGAGCTCCGGCGACGGTGGTGGTTACGGCGACGGTGGAGTGTGGGCCTAAGGAGCTCAACTTTTAATAATATGGTGACTGTTAAAAAGCTGCCTTCATCCTTCAATCGACCCCGTTGTTAGCCTCCGCTTGTTTGGCCTGCTTCTTTCTCCACGTTTCGTCCCACCACGCAGTTTGGCCAAAATACGTGCCCAAGTGTTCTACTACAACTACGGTAGTATGGTGCGATTGTAATAGCTGCTTTATATGACTAGTGTAGAAGAAAATGAGACATAATTGATGCTTTTAAGCTCACAATAGAGCGACCTGCTCGCATGTGTATGTCGGAAAGCAATTGTACGGGGCAATCAGCGGAACGTTGTAAAGACAAGAGGGTAGAAGGTGCAGCAACTAACGAAACTCATTACATGAATATTTCGTACAACCTCTGTCTGCATACAGGGTGTTTCAGCTAACTTCCTCAAAATTTACCTTTAATTTGTTGCTCTCTTTAGTTTCTTGCCCAGCTCATTGGAATGTCAGTTCGCATTAATGAAATGCTCTGATATTTAAAGACATGTGCTACGACTTTTGCATTGCAAACTGCTCGCAAAAATTGATAAACATTAAGGAATGTTTGCTAATTGCCCAGCTGGACAGAATGGGAAAAAAACATATTCATGTACTACGAGTGACTCGGAAAAATACAGCGCCAATTATATACGCAAAGCTTCTGCGTTTTTTTTTTTTTTTTAAACACGAAGCGCACGTTAACTGGAACACTTTCCCTAGTTTCCTTGCTAAGTCGCTTTCTCGAGAGGCTGCCATTCACTGTACGCACAGCACTGCCGCATTGTAGTTTCGCCAGAAGCGCTATGCAGGCCCGCCACCACTTTACTGCGAATCCACGTGTTGTCGTGAAATGTTCTCCCCATTCTATAGAGCTTTTTTTTAAAATACTTTATTGGAAATTCTGGCCCTATCATGGGATCCGCAATGCACGGCGATTCAACCACCATGGGAATCATGGGTAGTACACAAATTTGTCTAATCTTCGTACTCTTGGTTCCGTTCGGCTCCGTGTGGTTTGAAGCCGCTTTGTCGTTTTGGGTCTGTGAGCCTCGGAGTCGCTTTGTCACGAAACGACAATCGGCGGGTGTTCAACAGTTGCACTTCAGCACCTTAAACTTGTAAATTCACCATTTCAAATCGAGTCGCGAAGTTCGAAGCAGTGCGTTATTTTATTCAAAACGAAACCAAAACACAATTAACAGAGCCACAAGTACGTTTGAAGCCTCCAAGCAACAATACTAAGCAAATTTGTGTACTACTCATTGTTGCCGGGGTGGCTGAATGGTTGCAGAGCCAGAGTTACCACTATAGTTAAATTTAGAAAGCTCTTTACCCTTTTTAAGGGGAACATATATATTGGACTCGTGTACGTGCGTCTCAGCAATGCCCGCATGCATGACCAGCAGTTAGGCGAGGGTTCGCAGCAAACTTGTGGCAGTCATCGTCCTCCTTATTGCATCCTTGCCTCATCACAGTTCTGTAAGGCAGTGCTTGTGTTCCCATTGTTTCGTTTCTGCAGCTACTACAGCCAGAGAACCTTGGCCGCCTTGGGCGATCTCAACCTACGCTTCTTGAGCCGTAGCCTGCGAGGCCGCCAGTGTTACCTGTTCCCTGCGGACACTTACACTTACCGGGTAAAGGTCACCGGCTCTCGTCGGTATACTTCGGGCTATGGATGAGGCTGCCATGACGAAACCAGAGGGAGGTGGACATGGCAGCTCAACAAACCCTCTCCGGTTTTTCAATTTTTGCATGTCCGCATATACAAGCTAAAATAATTCATTGTTGGGCGATTCCACGAGAGATCGACACGGGTCGAAAAGTTGATATTTTAGGTGTGATTGTTTATTTTTTATTTTGTGCTCATACCACCAAGTAGCCCGAAAGTGCACCTCGTTTTTTTTATTACTTGAACAGTTTAGGAGAAAAAAAAGTTGAATTCATTTTGTACAGATGGACCAATTTCATTCCTTGTCATTTTCGAAAGTTAACGACTATATAAAACACAAGTATTAGCTTGATGAAGAAGATTTTTTTCCAGTAAATGTACGCGTAATGAAAAGTGAAGCACCATTGTTGAAGCTTGTATGCTGAAGCAAAGTGTTTCGGAAAAATATCTCATCAGGTGACATTTTTTTTAAAGCTGCTTGATTTGATATTTTTTCACTCCGAAGATAAACCAGCTAGTGTTTTATAACTTGGTGAACTATTACAACATAATGCTTACAATATTGTCTGTCAATACCGTGGCTGTACCTCAAACACATCATTTTATAGATGGCCTCAAAATTTCAATTTCGTCGACGGTAAAGCCTATTGAAAATCAATATTTAAATACCCAATCTTCAATTTTTCTTAAAGTCTCATAAAACGTTCCTCACAGATGATAGAAAAAATATTCAAAAACATATTGCCTTATTTTATTTTCAGCGACAATATAACAGGTAGAAATTCCAGCTTTTCGAGCATGCACTTAGGCGATCAACGCATGAGAAATCGTTGTCTCGCAAGAGTACAAAATCTGCACATACGCCCTCCACACAAGTGTTCCTTTTAGAAGTGGACCCATCTATACATCGTCCGGTTATGTGGTATTTTACGCTCTTTAAGAAATGATCGTGTAAACAAATTGGCCCCGTATCTGCATGTTACACCACAAAAGTCGTCGAAAGACGATAGTCTTGCGTCTGGAGAGTGTGAACAAAACGTTTATTTGATGTTCTGCGCAAACAAATTGGTGAACGGTATTCTGCAGCCGCTGCGTTGGAGTGCCTCGAGCGTGCGACGGAGGCCAACGAGCGCATCAAGTCACGTCACACGCGAGATATGAGCGCTATCTGACAGTTATCTTGGTAAACGAAGCGTGCGGTGTGCGCGCCAGTCTTGAAGGTTATAAGGTGTAGAACGCAAGGTGACGGGTAGGTGCCACCACCGTGTCGTCTTAGCAAAGCGTTGGAAACACTTGCATTTTCATGCAAGCGTTGCATGGTCAGCGCAGCGTGATAAACGCTACGGTCCTTAGAATTACTTATGTATGCGTTCTCTAGTAAAAAACGCACATACAGAATATACACGTGTTTTTATGGTGCCTCAGATATGTGCAATAATTGCTTTTTAATTTACAAACGCACAAGTATGAATGGTGAACCTTGAGCAATAATGGTGGGCGCTGAGGGTGTGGTCGGGCCGCGTTTATGGTGCCATTTAGGATGCCGTTAAAGGCGGACAGCCAGACAAATGTACAGAGAGACAGACCAAATTTTTGCGTCGAAGGTCCCAAAGAAAGACTATAGTCTTTTAAAAAAAAGGGGGGGGGAGGGTCTTTTTGTCTCGCAACAATATTTGCCATCTGGCCTTGTTGCATTTCCTTCCTTGAAAACTTGGCGCCAGCCTTTTTCGTATCAAAAATGCTATGTCACGCTGATAACGCACCTGTCCTCCATGACCTGAAAGAGGTGAACGCGGCGTGATAAATTAATCGATTGATTGATTTGTCGGTTTTAACGTCCCAAAACCACCATATGATTATGAGAGACGCCGTATAGCTGAGAAGTCCGGAAATTTCGACCACCTGGGGTTCTTTAACATGCACCCAAATCTGAGCACACAGGCCTACGACATTTCCGCCTCCATCGGAAATGCAGCCGCCGCAGCTGGGATTTGAACCCACGACCTGCGGGTCAGCAGCCGAGCGTGATAAATCAATGAAAGGCACGTAATACAGATGACGATTAATGTTATTGTCCAAGAAGACATCCTTTTTTCTCGGCAGTTTCTTGGAGTGCGTAGGCCGACGCCAATCCGTGTTTCGAAATACGAGGTAAACTGAAAACGCTGTGCTTTCACTCCGCCTATACTATTTCCTCAACCACCGTCACTCTTTGCACGCAGATAAAGCCGCCCGACACGACGCACTCCCTCGGACCGGGCGTCCAAGGTCCCAGGACCAATCGCGCCGGACGCATGGCGTACTTCGAGACGTGCCCGATGGCGGACTCGTACTCGAAGCTGTTCACGGACTACGGCGTCGAGGCGCTCTTCAACGATTCCTTCCTGGTGTACACGGAACCGCAGTTGCTCGCGCGCTTCGCCGACTACATGCACCAGTCCCTTTCGGCCACTTGCATGGGCGTCTGGAACCCGCACATGGACGACTTCGGCGGCGTGTGTGGTTACGGAGTGTACCCTCTCTGCGGCGCCCTCTTCCGCTACTACAACGACACCCACGAGTAGTGTCCAGTGGGCGCCAGGACATGAAGGACCATTGTCATATGATTTTACTTTGAATACATGAATACTTTTTAGTGAACGATAGGGATCATTTATGCTTACGCCTGGTCATTGCGGCATCTACACATACTTAGCATACATGATAGCGATGTCTATTTATTCCCGATGACAAGGCATACGCGTACGTTGACCGTTTGAGAAGTTTTCGAATAGCGTACGCTAAGTTAGCGTTCGCTGCGGTCACCCGCTATTTTCCGTTCCTGAACGGGAAGCCTGCAAGCGGTTAGCGTACAATGCATGGGCGGTGGTGCGAAACGCTAACGCAATTATTTTCGTACGCTATTCGAAAACTCCCTTATTTACTTTCTGGTCTTTTACTGCTACAAAAAAGAACGTAGTATTGCTTGCACATGTAAACATCCATTTTTGTTTCCGTTACGATATATTTGCAGGATTCTTCGTCTGACCTTATGTCTGCCCATTAATTTCTGCACGTGCACTTACGTTGAAAGTGCATTCGTGATGAAGTACGTGCAGTAAATGGATGCTATTTTTCGCACGTAACAATAAAGTTTATTTTGAAATCTTTTTTTTGGTATTTTACTTTTTGTTTCGATGGTAATTATATCGGCACTAACTGGGCATTCGAAGGAAAAATTGAGGACGCAGTATAGGGCACACTGACAAGCACGAACGGAAGCGCATTCGTTTATGGTTTTCTGTGTGCCTCGCTGTAGACTTGTCTTGACCGAGCGATTCCAAGTGTAATATTCCACATGTTTCCATAGCGAAGTCGGGATGCATCTATACCAAATAAACGGGGAAAACGCTGAGCGAATAGCCGGCTAGTGCTGGCCAGTGGCAAAAAAAAAAAAAATCACCTTCACGGCGGTGATGGGGCGCGGTGGTGCGGCCGTGCGCCTCCACGTCGACGGCTGTTTTACTCTGCAATTCACTGATGATGATATTTAGGACGTCTCCTTGTAAAGAGACTAGTGACATTTGCAATATCAGCTTAAGTCGCAATGTTCCGCTGCGTATGCCGAAGTCTAGACCGTTGCTTTTTTTTTCTGCTTCCCATTCGTAATAATGTAGTGTTACCCACTCCTAAAACCATTATAGCTTCATCTTTGCTGTGCTCTGCTTAACATGTGAGAGTATTCTAAACGTGCCTTTCTTATACTAAGTAGTAACCATTTAACATTCCGATGAGCTTCGACGGTCAGTTTATCAGCAAACAATATAGGATATATCTTATGGTAATTACTCAGTAAATGTCTTGAACAATTCACTGCGATTTTGCATAGAGGCTCACTGTCAAAGCAGCCCCGTCGCGGTGGTCTAGTGGCTAAGGTACTCGGCTGCTGACCCGCACGTCGCGGGACCGATTCCCGGCTGCGGCGGCTGCATTTCCGATGGAGGCGAAAGTGCTGTAGGCCCGTGTGCTTCGATTTGGGTGCACGTTAAAAAAACCTCAGGTGGTCAAAATTTTCGTAGCCCTTCATTACCGCGTCTCCATAATCGTATGGTCGTTTTGGGACGCTAAACCCCACATATTATCGAGCTTTGCATATGACGATGTATGCTTACCAACTGTGCTTTCTTTATTTTCTTTTAGCAAACTTCAGGTGTAGGCGAGCGTCCATCTTGACCGCAACGTTTGCTGTACTGAATTTTGGTTCGTTCAACTAATTCAGAATGACATACAAACTGGCCTGTATGCCAACAATCCTTTTTCAGATTTTTTTTTAGCCGTGCGTATATAGTTCGTCATATGCAGAGAAACTACGCAGAGTTATTGTGGTGGGGTGTTTACGTGGGAATACTTGGCCCCACAGTAGGTGTGTGCCACAGTTAATCGGTGAACAAGAACAAGAAAGGCGAGAAGAGAAAATGTAACGTTCGTTTACCACATTATATAATATAATTTATATTCATTAGACCAAGCACCATAACTTACTAAGTAATCTGTTATCTTTCTAATAAATAATATTCGTCATTCTAAAACTTCATACTAACTTTAAAAAACGCTCGATTCTTGGCCAATCCTCCACAGTGGGTACGCGCCACAGTTAATTTGGTGAGCAAGAACAAGTTCGTTTACGCTTGTCCGCCATTGCCATTACTCCCTGGTAAAATGAACTGGTCTCGGTACTCGGACCTCCACAGGTGGCGCGGAGCAGGCTTCACGATGGAAAGTGCAGATTTCGACGACAGCGCCGCAGACGTCAGAACGTACGCAACCGTGACCACATCGTGGGAGGCAACAGTGCGAGGAGTCGGACATAGCGTTTCTGCGTCGACTGCAAGCGACACCTGTACGTCGGACAACGCCGTTCAACAAAAGCACACGGAGCCATGGTGTCAGGCAGAGTCTGCAGATGTTGCACGTCTTTTACGGCCATCACCCGCTCCGATGCACGCAGGAGGTAACGCTGTCATCCCCGTAACCTTGGTACACTTGTGCGGCAACAGTCGAGATAGTTAAAAAATAACGAGTTTATCTTAGATGTTCGAGCTCTCAGTGCGCACCAAAGGCGCGTGCCAACGCTATCTGAGCGCACTGTGATTGTGAATGAAAGGTTTAAAATTAAGGGACGGAAAATTCTGCAGATCCCTCACACTGTAGTAGTCCATGTCAAGTGAAGCAATATTGGCGAGTAATGGCCAATAATAAAAGTGACTTAAAAATTTTTTAAAATTTCGCATACCGCACTATTTATTACATTGAGACAAGCATTGATATAGAACGAATTCCTTGTTCTTTTTGAGTAGTTATGACTATTTCATGGACAGATCCATGGCGAGGAATATCTTCGGGAAGGAAGGGGGCCACTTGCTGATAGCCTTAAGTATTTGAGAAAAGTATCTACTACTTGAGGAAGAAACTACTTGGCAGGTGGGTGGGGGTCTTTTTACCTTCCCACCCTAGCTACAGGATTGATCGTAGGCCTGCCAGACAGGCTGACCACACTGACGCCAAAGCGTATCCCAAAAGCTTCGTGCTAAACATTGCACTTACACTAGAGCGCCGATTTCACCGAAATGAACGGAAGGCTATCATGCGAAGAAGTGCATATCATAAGAGGCTGTTTTCGCCTTACTCCACCGTGTTGAGCAATGTTGATCATATATCGAATGGCGAATGATAAGAGCCAACATTTATTGTTCATTACATTGGTATAAAAACCGATAGGAAACACCGCAATCACTGTTAACTTTGCTGCGATGTGACGTCCTTATAGTGTCATTTTAGTATGCAGTTTCTAACAGTGGCATAGTTCTCTACTACAATGCTTGATATCCACGCAGAATTCCTATGCTTGATTCTAGCTCTAACCGTGATTTTTGACCTTTCCGTCCCTGCGACTTTTGTTTCAACCTTTCTGGCAGTCCGACTTTTCCATACTGGCCACGCCGCTAACATTTGCTCCGCAATTTCCGGAATGCATGCTCCATAAAGATTTCCCATGAAGGACGGTCACGTGTAGGTGCTCCATAAAGGGTGATCGCGTTAATGTTTTCGAAAGTCCGTTGTCGCGGTTCCTGGGTTGACGCAAACTGTTAATCAACTGCGACTTATACCCGCATTTTTTGGGTCATGGTACGCGGTACATGCCACACGTGACTGACCTAAAGAAATTCATGACGCACACGACACATATGTCGTGCTATTCGAGCGACGAAGGACCTATTCGTGTGACGAAGGGCCTATTAATCGTGTTCTTAATACACTAATGACCTCTGATGCATGGAAATGGTGGCGTGCGTCATTCGAAAGAAATTACCGTGAGAGCGCCCATACGTCGGTGGCTAGTTATATAGATATATAAGTAGATATAAGCAGTCAAAGTGCCTCTAACTCACTGGAAGATGCTTCGCATTAAAAAAAATCATAGTATAGGCCAGGGAACAAACGAGTGTTAATTGAAATCAGCTTAGTGGAAGTCTACAAGAAGAAATGGTTCTCGGCAGGCCAATTAGTGAGAATGCAATACGCCCGCTGGTCGCTGAGCGCAAAAGACTAGACTTCAAAAGAAAGCAAGGGCATGATGGGGAGGCAGATAAGATGAGGTCAGCGGATGTAACGTAGGCGCATCAAGCACAGGACCGGGTTGATTGGTGGAGCGTCAGGGGCCTTTCTCCTGCACGGGGCGTAGTCAGGCTGATGATGAGGGTGGCGGTAGTGGTTGGTCTCTTACTACAAGGGACAGCACTTCGATACGACATGCGCTAAAGGCAAGACCTCGATGCAATAATGCAAAGGAAGGCACAGTGTTTATCGGGGCATGTCTCCATCATAATCACCGACTGGTAATTGACTGTGTCGTTTTTGAAATTGAGAGTTTAGGAATGTTCTAGAGTGGCATCTGATTTCGAAATCGGTGTTTCTCCATCTAGGGGGTGAAATATCGGTGTATGAATAAAGCGTCTCGATTCCAGTGCTCCTCGGCAGGGGGTGGCGACAACATCCACTGTCTGACCCAATATGGCAACACCACGCAACGCGCCAGATTTACTTTTTCACCCAATATTGCAGTGGCGTGGTCAATGAGTGTCCCCACCCTGTGCAAAGGAACGCTGTCATCGAGACGTCCTTGTAGTCACGAATATAAAACTCGTCCGCGCGGTGCCAGACCAGGCCATTTAGTTTGCCTCGGGGCTTCCGTCTTACTGGGCAGCAATTCCTTTCTTCTTTGTCGTCGGCATCTCTGTTGGTGGCCACGTGGACGCACCAACTTATAGAATATTTAAACCATGTGAAGCGTCCTTTAAACAGTACCTGCCTTCTCGTGACTTCACAGAACCGCAGAACACAGCGTACGGCGCCTACCCGCTGTGTAACCAGTACCACGGACAGCACCATTCCCACCTATACGTTTCCCCAGCCGAGCTTCAGCGTGGTAATCGAAGTGCCCTGCATGGCTTCTGCAGTCCGACGGTGGTGCCGGTGGTATCACCGTATTTGCAAGCGTCCCAGCGGGGCTCAGCGTTGTCGCGGGCTCAGACGAGGTTCAGCAGGCCACCGATGCTCAGCGGACGGTTTCAGGCCACGTCAGGTGCGATACGACAGCCACCGCAAATGATCATCCCTCGTGGCAACGAGAGCTTGAGGGTAACGGACGTTTTCTACATTCCGCCATTGCGTTAGGCAGTTGTCTTTAAGTTT